TTATATCTATTATTAAAAAAAAATAAAGATGAAGAATCCTTTGAAACCCACTCAGAAGTGTTTGTTGTATTAAGCCCACTCTGAGCAACCTGGTTAGAACTACTATTTCTCAGATTATACTGTGTTTAGGAATTTTTTATACTTCTTGAGATGTTCTACTCAAAACCTATACATAGCATCTCCAGACTAGGAGCCAAGACACACTACATTTGTGTTTGTCTATTTGTGTAGTTGACTATAGGCCATTGTTCAGAAAAGCCATTCAATTAACATATTTGAAATTGACTTGAAAAGGAAATACTGGTTCTCTTGGAAGAATCACATGAGTCTGTGCAGCAAGCCAATGTCAGGGTTCACAAATGCTTTCTTTCCAAAATAGCATGATTTTCTCAGTCTCCAGATCTCCTGCCAGTCTTTTCCACCTGTTCAAACTGCATATATTTTCAGTCGTTTTTGATGTTAGAATTCGAAGAGCAAATCTAAACAGTATTTACACATGTACTAAAATTATAGCCAAGAACGTAAATGCCAGCTCATGAGTAAAGCTGACACACATATAAAAGTTGAAACTAGAGATGCTAAAAACAAAATCTGTAAAGGTAAAGAAAAACATATGATTTAAAAATGAGGGGAAAGGGGGCAAAACCTTGTTTACGAAAGAGGAATTCCAATTAAGATGAAAATGCAGGTGTATTTTGACAGGGAGAAAGAAACACTTATGGAAATAATTCAGAAAGTTTGAGCTGATTAAAGTAGAGTGATGCATTGAGACTGCACCAGTGGAAAATAACAGAAGGCTCAGGGCCTATGAAAGACTGCGTGAGGTGTAAGCAATGCAGCCCTAGATGTTTACTGAGCATCTCAACTTAGCAACCGGATAGGCTGCCATCTGTAAAGATCTGCGGAACGAGATACTATATGAATTTTCGGAAGAGACATTGCCAAGTGCCATGTAATCTGGACCTAAAATTAAGAATTGTACCTAGAACCCTCCCAAAAGGAAAATGCAAAGAAGAATACACATTTAGCCAGTCCACACATATGGCAAGCTATATAGTAGGTTTACATATCAAGTTGAATTTAATGAACCATCATGCCTCCTCTTGTAATCTGCGTTACTCTCAAGATTTAATCCCTTTTAAGAAGGTATCTTTGGGCCCTTCCTGGTGGCGCAGCGGGTTAAGGCACAGCACAAAGAAGCTTAAACCACTTCCGCATGAGTTCGATTCCCCCCTGCCCCGGAGGTGACCACATGGCGCGGCAGACCTCTCCTGACCCGCCCACTGCTCCCCTCAGCAGTGTACTTCGTGGATCTGCCTGTTCTGTACCCAACTCTGTCTCTGGGGAAGCCTCTCACCCTCTGACCTGTACCCCAGTTCTGTACGAATAAATAAATAAATCTTAAAAAAAAAAAAAAAAAAGGTATCTTTGATGTACAGGAAGGAATGGGCAAGATATCAACAGAGACTGCTGTCCTAAAAGTTCATTTTTTAAAAAGACCATCTTCTCACGTCAATTGTAATACATTGAGGAGTGAGAAGAACTTAAGCCTGGAACCCACCAGCCACAACTTCAGAGAAGCAAATGGCATGTATAACCTTATTACCGAGTTGTATTATTTCTTAGAAGAAGTATTTAGAGCACAATTATAGCAGGCAACCAACCCATTCTTTTTCTGTATGGTTAGACAATAGTGAGAATTTTCTACATCCTAAATGAAGAGGAAATATATTTCTCATGAGTGAATGTAAACTACTCAGAAGGCTGTGATGTCATAGTGAAATACAGTTGAGGAATTAAAGACTATTATGGACTATTTCTGCTACATGAACAGGCTACAGTCACTTTAAAGGAAACAGATGACCATCCATTATAGCAACATGTGTGGAGGGGGTGAGGTGGAGTGGGAAATCTGTGCTGGTGTTTGTAACACTATCTTTTCTCCTGTCATGAACCTGAAAGGCTATGGGCCTCTGATCATTCCAGAAGCTAAGAAGGGTCTAGAATCTTATTAATGGGAAAGTATCAGGCTTTCCGTGTACAGTGGAAATTTGAGATCGTGGCACAACATTTCAGCTGAGGAAATTAATAACATTTTTACAAAGTTGAACATATTTCTTTTGACTTTTGAGGTCATAGAACTTCTTCCAAGATATCATAACAAATTATTCCCCCATAAGTGTGTTTCTAGAAAATTCACTCTTACCCTGGAGTGTAAATATTACCTTCAATACATGCTTGTGCTTCCTTCAGCTTTGTGTCTTTGGCAAAATATAAAAAGCGTGACAGCTGCCCAAAGGTCCTAATTTTAATTTGTGGTACAGAGAGAGAGAGCAAAGGCTGTCCGTTTTTATCAACTTCTTCTGATTTGGCTGTTGTTTCACTAAAAAATGGAGGAAAAACTCAAAAGCTTAAGTTATCTGTATATCAGAAGTTAAAGACATTTCATCAAATATTCCTGTCTCATTATTATATTTAAAAAAAAGACTCTAAATACCTCCCACTATAAGCTCCTCTTATTTTCCTCTCTCACCCACACTTAGACTTGTAGATCTAAATCTTATTAACAATCAGATTACTTAACATGATACATCCAGGAGAAAAGTTTCGAGCAATTCCCTGAATACCCACATGAACTGATTCACGGGTTTTGGTTTTGTTTTTCCAGTATTGCCTTGGACAACTTAAAAACACCACTGGTTCTACTGGACTTTCATGTTTTGAAATTTTTTAATGTTATTTGTATAATTTTTACACCACAATAATTAATGGCAGTGATGTGCACTGTGTGCAGAAACTGTACTTTTTTTTCTAAAATAAAGAACTTTTTTGGCTTCTCTGTTTATGAACAAAGACAGACACACACATGTATATACACTCATGTGTGTACACATACATGTGTATGTATGTACTGGTACACGTGAGCACGTGTGTGTACACAGATTGCATGTGTGTGTGTGTGTGATGTGTACTCTGTATATGACAACCTAGATCCTTTCTGTGGATTGGCTGTTCCCACTCCAAACCCCCTAATTCGTCTTACTTTGTGAGAGTGATTAGCTTTTCAAAATGGGCTTTTTCTGATGAGAATTTTATCAGATCTCTTAGCTTTCCATTTCTATCCACTTAATAGATTTTTTTTTAGGTTGGCATGCAAAAATATTAAAATGTTTCTCTGGCAGTGATATGTCTATAGATCTCTGTGATTACAGCATTAATTAAACTGCCAAGGTTTTTTATTACTTCCCTTGGTAAAATGACCCACATCTTAAGAGCTGAGTTAACCTTTTAATTTGTAATGCAGAAAATCAAAAAAGAAATATTGCCAGTTCATCAGAAAACAAGTAACTCTGTCAGACTTGAGCTATCTACTTACACCACTTCCCTAGAATAGATGCAGAGGGCAGGTAGTGCAGGAGGCTGAGTAATGGCTCCCCACAAAATACTTATCTCCTCGTTTCGGAAACCTGTGGTTATGATACCTTGGCACAAGGTACTTGGGTACTTGGCAGATGGTTAAGTCCTGGATGTAGAGATGGGAAGACTCATCTGAACTATCTAGGGGTCCGGTGTTATCCAGCAGACCCTTAGAAAGCAGGAAGAGGAAGTCAGAGAGAGCCGGGCGAGGACAGAACCAGGTCTGAGCAATCAGAACCATGAGCCAAGGAATTCAGGTGGCCTCAAGAGCTGGGAAAGGCAGAACAAATTTTCCTTCATCCGCGTGAAGGAGTCCAGTCCTGCCAAAGCTCTACCTGGGCTGGCTACTCTGCTAAGTGGATGATGATAGGACTAAGTTATAGGCTGACTCGATGCCAACAATGTGGAGCTGCTTAACTTGAGAAAGGGCAACTCCAGAAGAGAAGCCGCAGAGCTGAAGGGCCAGGTGACACTGCCTGTGGCTTCGACCAGTGGAAACCTGTCACTCAGCAGAGCAAGAAATAAAGCGCCAGCTAGGTCGGGAATAGTTCTGTTTCTGGGCTCAACTGTTTCCAACACCTAAATAAAGAGCTCTTGAGCAGAAAAACACTGTACCCACCCTGTGAAGACCAGGAAGAAATGTGCTGTAAATCCACTGCCTGGTCAAGAGGCTTTCTCATGGAGCTGAGAGAGTTACAAATATGCAGCTTAGCCTCTAAAGCAAGAGAGCAGGGAAAAGTCTCGTTTGCTTAATCCCTGGTGTCTGGCTCAGTGTCCAGATGTAGCTACTGCTCTGTAAATGCGCGTCTGAATCAACAGAGGTTACCACTGAGAGACTAGTAATTCTCAGGGACAAGCACCAAAAAGCTCAATAACAAAACATACGGCCGCCGTTCTTAATACTGTGATTTAGAAACTTTACCAAAATACAGTAATAGTAATAAGCATATAGTTGGGTCTAACTTAGAAGCCAGGTAATCCAGTCCTTCATGATACAAAGCAGAAAACTAAGACCCAGAAATGCATGATCTGAGTGAAGTGTGCTTTACTGGGGGGAAGAAGGCTACTTGTGGGGGTTCTGGCTTCTCACCCCTGCAAAGTGCTTACAGTGCATTGTTTTGTCTCAACTCCTATCACTGAGACACAACAAAGCAAGATTTGCAGCTATTACATAGCAGACATGATTCAAAAATTATAGTTCCACCAGAGGAGAGAAAAAAACAGAAAACGACAATTTTATAAAGTGATTCTGAATGCTTATCCAATCCTACTTCTCCCAAATTTTTAGGATTTAGATCTGTAAATCCATGTGGATGTTCAAAGTAGGAATAAGAATCTCAAATTTCTAGGTACCACTGATGGATGGTATGACCGTGAGTGGCATCCTCATATGTTGTTAGTCTGTAGTGGCTAACAACGTTAGCACAACTAACAACGTTCTTAGTCTACAGAGGCTTCATTAGGAATGTTTTGGGATTATTATTAATCTCATCCTGCCTGATAAGAACAAAAGCAGTTAAAAGTGGAGGAGAGTGGGGGAGACTGCACCCCCCCACCACCAAAATAAATTTAGATTTAAAAATTCAATAGATAGTGTGCCTGGCCAAACAAAATATTCTCAGGTTTCAGCTGATTAATGGGAGAAAGAGATCCTGCCCACAAGTTATAGGTTTACTAAAAGGAACAGGAGCTATTTCGGCCCCAAAAAGCGAACAGAAAGATGATGACAAATGTTCTAACAGAGGAGCCTCTGTACAGCAGGAGTGGGCCTCCAGGGGAAAGAATGAATCATACAGTATGTAAAAAGCACAGTGTCTACATACCCACTTCAAAACCATCGGCACTAAAGGGAAAATGACTGATGAAACATAAAGCTTTTCAGTTTGTGACAACAGGAGCAGTTTCAATGTCAGATGCCAAAGAGTCTAATTCAGAAGGCTGAGCAAACTTTTGTTGACTTTTACAGAGGGTACATTTGGAGACACACATCAAGTGAGAAGTGAGGCCACAAGCATAAATATGTTCTCATAAATATCTTCAGTTCAACAAAAGAGTACTGACCTGTTTTGAGCAGACTTTAGCATAGATAAAATGGATTTATTTGGGAACAAGAGGCCTGAGAAATTATATATCCCCAAGAAGAATCCATCTATATTGTAAAGCAGCCAAGGATAGGCCTATTTGACAGAAACACATCCAGAGACTCTTAGTTTAAGTCCTTCTTGATGGTCCTTTTGCCATCAAGACTCAGAGCCTGTGTGGAGGGAGGGCAGTTCCCCACGCTCTGGGTGGGACTTATGTTGTACTTACGGTCAGCAGAAAGGGGAAGAGAGGGGCTGTGTTAATAACACATTCTTCTGGCCATGAAGGGCATCTCTGGTTTATATCACTAGTTATGTTGCTTGAGTTGGCAAACACTAAGTGCTATAGGTTACTGAAAGTGCTCTGGTTTACAGGGTAGACAAAGAGGTACATATGGTCAAGACCCGGATATGAAGACCTTCGTTATTTTCTATAATTATCAAGGTCTGAGTTGAACCCTTAGCTCACCAGTGCCTATCTGGCATTCCTCAAGCCACTGAGGCAAGATTTCCTTCCTAACAGATTCTTTTCACCCTTTCCAACATCAAAGGTATCAACCAAAAGGTCAGAAACAAGAACAGAGACAAAACTGGTCTGAAAAACATTTCAATGTATGTACATTGATTATATAGTTTGTGATGCATAATTATGATGAATTAATATATAAATATGACTTTTTAAAATATTGTGATCTATACTAATATATAACCCATTGTTTGAAGAAGAGGTAGGATATTTCTTTTAACCCACAGGTTAGAAGGTTGTCATTTGAGACATGTATCTCTTATATTGAACAAAACGTACCCTTCTCCCTCTATTACCCCCAGTGCTGATATATTTAAATGCCAGTAGGAATTTGGTCTTTATCAAAAGCCACAAAACCAATGCCTATTGGCATCTGGAAGGGAACATGGCTGAGTAGCCAGGTCAGGCATAAAGGCAGCAGCAAACACTGAGAGTGGAGTCACTGAGACTGTACCCCCACCAAAACAAATTGAAATTTAAAAATTAAATGAGGGCCCTCCCTCATGCTGCAACAGGTAAGACGCAACACTGCAAGCTGGCCGCAGCCACTTAGTGCAAATTTGATTCCCAACCCTGGAGGTGATCCACATGGCAGACCTCTCCTGACCCGCCCACTGCTCCCTCAGCAGTGTGCTTCATCCATCTACCTGTTCTGCCCCCCACTCTGTCTCTGGTGGATTCTCTGACCACGTCTATACATCTGGTGTGCACCACAGCTCTGTATGCATAAATAAATATTTTTAAAATTAAAAAAAAATAGAAATGAAATATCCCTGGATTTCACCTGATCGTACCCATCTTGGTTCAGAGGTAACTGATTTGTTAGAATGATTTGTTAAAAGTCCACACCCAATCCACCAATGCATGTGCTATGAAGAAAGCTATTCTAGAAGCATTTAGCTAGCTTACCTGACAACGTAACCTGATTCAAATACTGAAGGGTGCAAGCTTGTATTCCATTCCAGTGGCTCCATAAAAACATATTTTGCCTCCTGGGGATATTTATAGATAAAACTCTCCACAAACATAATAATTTCTTTCAATATCACTTCATTTAGAGGGGTAACTTCCAAGGCTCCAGTCCCATGTCCAGCAGCAGTCCACTGCGCTGACCTGGTCAGTGCCACACCCATGGGATCCGTCAGTGCTCAGATCTGAGCTTAACACCCAACTATATCAGAGTAGAAAGAGTTAGAGACAGTAACCTTTATTTTTAGCTGGGACATTTTTCATGGTCAAGATTTTAAGGTATCTTATCCAACCCACAATCTTATTAAACTGAGTGGTTCATTTCTTTAGTTATCTTACTGTTCTCCAGTTCAATAAAATAGTTAACTATCCCTGAATTAGTTCTAAATAACATCAGTAGTACTTAGGGATTTTCTGATATTTGCCTGCACTGACCTGAGTCTTTCTCATTTTCCTGGGCCTCTAGGAGAGAATTCACATTACTGGACAGAAAATGGAAATAGGAACCTCCAAGAGAAAAAGAAAGAATGGAGAAGGCTGTCATCAAGGGCTTTGGTCCCTGGCTCTATTGGGGTCAAGTTGAGTTGAACGACACTCTTTGGAGCTGATTCACCCTTTGCTTAAAATTGTGCCATTAACTGAATTCCTGATCTTATTTTAGAGTCATATGTGTATCAAAGCAACAGTGAATGGACATGAATCTGATAGCTCTGAGATTTTTTTTTCCATGTGCCTTTGGAATTAATAAAAAATAGAATCAGAACATGACTGTGAAGTATATTTTTTTCTGAAAACTGGTATAGTACACATTGACCCTATTTGTGAGAATATCTGAATAGTCCAAACACTGTACTCCTTGTTCACAATGTCCTGCCCAGAATATTTTATTATAATTCACAACTTTCTTAAGAGCAAGTGTAAGAGATGAAGAATGAGAATCTTTTCCTATTTATCTAAATTGGTTATCAAAACAGTCTAGTATTAATCTTTTAAACAAATTCAAATGAAATAAAATTTAACTTCCTCTAAATTTCAAATTTTCACTTTGTTGAAATAGATAAATAGGAAAAAAAGATAATACTCTTTTTAAGAGAGAACATTATAAGTAACATTAGTTAAATGAACCAACTTAGAAAACAAGTTCTGACATTAATCCATAATGACTTTTAAGGCTTTTTTTTTTTTCCTTCCAGATAATCTGTATTGTTTGGTTTCTCGTTGGTAAGTACCTATTCTCATTGGTAATACTGATCATTAAACTCTGCCAGACTGTTAGAATTGCTGTAAATTTTTTTAATGTAGTTTTCCCTCCCATCACTATTACAAAAACTCAGAAGATCCCAGATAAATGACTTGGATATTTTATTTTCTGTACTTTATTTAATCTTGAAATCCAGGAATAGGGAAATCTTATTTCCCTGTGATTTCCGAGGGCCTGTACTGGCTGCTGTGAAGCAGTGCAGAAGGATTATACAGACATTTCATTATCAAAACAATAGCAAGGAGCCATCACTGGCCCTTAGCTATAAAGACCAAGAATGCTAGATATTCTCAACAGGCAGGACAATCACCTAAAAAAAAGAATTTCTCTGTAATCTGCAGACATCTGCCAGGTGAAAAACTTGAGGTAAGTAAAGCCTGAGCCTACAACTTATTTCTATTTGACAAATAATCACAACACATATTTTCCACAGTTTTAATAGCTACTACAGTCTCTAGGACTGCCAACATTGTATAAATGAAAGAAAGTAAACTTAGCTTTGTTAAGATTTACGAAGGAAATTGTTGACTGACAACACCACTACCCACATAATTTGAGTTCAGTGACCTCTCTACATCCTTCCACATTTGGGGTTAGTAGATTCAGGAGTCTAAGCAAGGTTAGAGTATTGTCGTGGTACCTGGGTATTTACTGCTAATGTTTTCTTACATTTTTGTCTCTTAATTTTCCTTTATTTAGTAGTGAGAGCACTATTAACACTAGTACTATTCATACATGTATGACTACCTATGATTTATTTTAGTAGAATAAAGCAGGCATCATAAAATATAGATTCAGACATGATTGAGAACAAGTGCTATGTGTGGGCACACACGATAAAATAAAACATACATAATTAGGGTACAATTTGTTCTGTGCAGTTATTTTAGAATTCTAGTGTTTTCTATTTCAAGATCCCAAACCCATAAGCATACACTGATGTTTATGTGCAATGTTCTTAAGCTCCCCAGTTTTATGAGAATATGAACAAATCACAAGTAAATGCAAATAGTTTGAACTTATACTGAAAGGCCTGAGTAGACGGTTCTATTTGTTTTTAATCACACCTTTAGAATTGTTTTTGGCTTATGGGGATCGTTTACTTCTTGCATTGTTTTAAAGAAAAAAAAATATAAATACACAGATTATAAAAGACTACTCCAGTCTTTTATAGACTACAGTAACTTCCTGGAAGACAGTGCTAAGAAAGGCAAAAAACTCTCTCTTTCCCTCATGACAAAGTTTGTATTCAAATCTATTCAAATTCCTTTTCTGAGCCTAATAAGCAGGAACTGCAGTAAAGGACAGGCTTAGTTCAAGACTTTCATACTCATTAGCAGAAGACCTAAGACGTCCTCGGAAGGCAAGAACATTATGGGCGAGGAAGGTGGAAGAAAATCCCAAAAGAGAAAAAGGCTTTGCAGGTTAAACTGAATGAGTTTTCAAAAGAAACAGAGTAACCTAGTTTTTTTCTTACATGAGACTTTTCTGATAGCTCCCGAATATGCCAAGAGAAGGAAAGCTACAGCCGTCTTTCTTTCCACTACTTCTGGTGTCTTCAATTCTGGTCAGTACAACGCAGGGAAAAATAAGGAAAGTAACACTGTCAAGACAGGCTTCTCCCTAATTTCTACCCACAGACAGTCCAGTAAGTAATTCGACCCGAAAGCCATGGTTACAATGCATCCAGGCGATACCATGGACCTATCTTTGAACGAGAGGAAGCTCTTAAAGAAGCTTAAGGATTAAAAGGAAATAAAATTCCTGCGTTCCCTTTCATAACCTGTGAATCACTGTGGGCTCTGCTCTGCTAGTCAGACACTGAGTGGAATTTTTTTTAAGGGTCAGTTTAGCTTCCAGGATCATTCAATACAAGGAACCCCATTTGTGAATGATTCTGCACAACTTGCACAGAAGCAAGCCCCGAGTATTGATGACCAGAGACGTAAGCAGCCGCCGTGTGCTCTACCAGTGCTGAGGGTAACGCGGCTGGCGTGCGTGCGAGCGCGCGGCGTTCTGAGGGCGGCAGCTGCTTACTAGTGAGACCTACAGAAAAATGATCACTTCAGAGCCGGCAAGAAGCGGGCTCGAGTCCAAGGGGACGCAAACCCCGCACCAACCAGACCCGCCGCGCGAGTAAGGCCTTGAGTCGGGGGACAAATGTGCATAAATTGGGGAGGGGGGCAAGGGGGTCGGGCAAGAAGCCGCAGGCTGTGAAGACCAGAGAGAGGAGGCAAAGCAGCAAGGGCAAAGGAGAAAGGCGAAAGGGGAGAGGGAGGAGGCGTCCGGAGACGTGCAGAGCCGTCGGGACCGGGTGGGGAGCCGAGCGCGGGGGGCAAGGGGGTGTGGGGTGAGCACCGGGGCCCCGGGCTGGTCAGGGTCGGAGTGGACGCGGGGAAGGGGCGGGAAGGAGGAGCGGCAGCAGGGGAGGAGACGGCCTCGGTCGGGAAGGCGCGAGGGGAGACGCCGAGAGGTGCTGAAGCTGCAGCCCGC